ACATTTGAATCCGCCGATATAGATTCTCGATCAACTGTTAAGTTAAAGTTTCATGTCGGTTTTGTCGGTGCACTTAGGCCGACATTACATACATTTCCCTATCTCTTTCAGCTGTTTTTTTTTCTAAAATTTAAGGTCATCTGTACGCTTAATTTTGAGATACACTGTACGTGTGACTCACTCTATGGATAAGATTCGTTTTCAGTAAATATAGAATGCTTAAGCAAGCCTTTTGAATCAAATGTTACTAGCGCTGCATGATGAGTGAATTCTGAATTAAGAGGCCAATCATGCGAAAGGTATTGTCCACGCGAATAACTTCACTGAATACAGAAACCTGCTTTATGGCCGTACTGTCAAGTTAAAACATGGAATTTGATGCAAATTGTACACTCAACTTGACTATCCAATATTCAATTTCTAGCCAAGATGGCAAGGTACAAGATACATTGCAAACGAATATTACTCAGAGAATGAGTCTCTTTTACTGATTCGTATGGAGAATTTTTTACGGAGGTTATTGTCGCGCTTATGTTAAATTCTCATTTGGTTACGGTCGAAGCGCGCCGCTCATAAGCGCAATGCAACCCCGCCCATAAGGATTATACACAGGTGTGTAACTTTGATAGTATTTTATGGCAGCGGCTTGAGGAGCGAATCCTGGATAAAGAGCCGCCGTGTGTTAAATCAATGGGCGCAGTCGTACGGACATAAACCAGGCCGGTGACAAGGTCTATACTAACAGCTATGTTTGACAGTAGGCAACATGTCCGGGGCCCAAATCGTTTGTTTTGCTATACTGGGCCCGCTGTCACCGTATACAATGTTGCCTACGAGCCTGCCACCGGGCTGCCATAAACAGAAAACAGATGGTAAAATCCCTTTTTGAGAAATTATCCTGCCACACACAATACTCATGCGTTGATTAATCTACGCTTTAAGATAAAAAATTTCCATACGAATTAGTAAAAGTGACTCACACCTGAGTAAAAGTTATTCTCTCTTTGAGTTATTGTGTGTGGCATGATAATTTCTCAAAATGGGATTATACCATCTGTTCTCTTTGTATGGCCGTACGACCATAGAGGTAACTCTAAGACTAGAAGGTCCCGTAGAAACGTGCTCAACTTTTTGGCACAGCTCTGGTACTCTCTTCGGTCCCAAGCTAATCGATTCACCCCTCGAAACATAGGAAAAACCAATAACCCCTCATTTTATCTGTCAAACTTTCATAGCGAATCAAAACAAACATTGCGTAGTACTAGAATTTCGACTAGAATAGGGTACGTTAATCGTTTGCTTGGGACCAATAGGCTACTAAAGTGGTGAGCCAATTTAAAATCGTTAGTTTCGTATTGATTGTTGGTACGACTGCGCCCATTGATTTAACATACGGCGGCTCTTTATCCAGGATTCGCTCCTCAAGCCGCTGCCATAAAATACTATCTAAGCTACACACCTGTGTAGAATTCTTATGAGCGGGGTTGCAGCGCGCTTATGAGCGGCGCGCTTTGACCGTCATCAAATGAGAATTTAACATAAGCGCTACAATAGTTTCGTTTTCAGTGTGCAACGCAACGAACACCCCCGAGGGGGAAGACAATGAGAAATTAAGAGCAATCCAGAGTAACTCTTAGGAACTCTTTTGCTCTCTGATGAACGATTTTATTGTCGCGCTTATGTTAAATTCTCATTTTGTGACGGTCGAAGCGCGCCGCTCATAAGCCCGATGCAACCCCGCCCATAAAAATTATACAGAGGTGTGTAACTTTGATAGTATTTTATGGCAGCGGCTTGAGGAGCGAATCCTGGATAAAGAGCCGTCGTGTGTTAAATCAATGGGCGCAGTCGTACGGCCATAAACAGAAAACAGATGGTATAATCGCTTTTTTTAAAAATTATCCTGGCACACACAATACCTCGATTGTTTTGACAGCGCAGCCCAAGTAATCAATGTTTTTGGTGTAAGGAACGTTAGTTTTTTTTTCCGTTTTTTTAGGCGGTGATCTATGCCGTAAAATACTCAGCATCTGGATGCCCAGTACTACTTAGTAGCAAGATCCTGGTCAGTTTCATTATCATTGCAAAGAGAAAAGTGCCCTTCAGAAAGCTATCATCAGAGTGATTTAAGAAAATAGCCAAAACTTCAGTGAACTGGTAGAAAACGAGATCATTTCCTTATTGCATCCATTTATTTTCTTCATTCATTGTTTTCGTTTCGTTATCGAACTGACATTTGCATGGTTATACATTCCAAAACTATATGCCCTACTAATTCTGTTTTCGTCACAAATTAGATCAGATCCCAGAGCAAACCAGAGTAGCACTGAACAACTCTAAGTAAAAGAGGTACTCAAATGAAAGCCGTCTTCCCCCTCGAACACGCCTGTTTATCACTCGGCAGCCAAACGATGACTGCAGCCTAACTTTCTACGTTTCGCTTACTAAAGCATTTGGATTATCATTCCCCCTCCTTTTTCTGTATTTAGCTGATCAAGGTGAAAAAATGCTACGATGTCCACGCTGCAACGAACAAGTTCGAGCTCGACCCGTCCAACGTGCAACGCTGAATTATTATGCGGTTTCGGTTTGTGTTGTTAGGGACCAACTTTTTAATGGCTGTGTTAGGGGTGAGCACCTTGCGGTCGAAGAAAATGTATGAGCAATTTGAATGTTTCCATATTTCTTAATTTTTAGCTATTTAAATATTTAACATTTATAATGTGTGACATACCACACAAATCCTATAAAACTGCCGAATCGATCGACATACAAATCATCAAAATCCATCGGCCAAGTTATTAGCATTTAAAGTCTGACCAATTTTCGGTGCATTTCCCTGGATTGACACGCTTTCCGAAAGACGTAAGTCCTACGTCAAAATGGAATGTAAATTGATAAAATGAAAAGATTCCACCCGTATGGCCTAGTGACTGCAGCGTCAAGTTCTCGGAAATGCTTTATTTAATTTTCCATGAACCACCGCAATCACTGATAACGCTCTTCTAGCTTATCCCTTTGTTTTACACGTACGCAGAAAAAATTTGCACTACACGTATAATCAAGGTCATACGTACATACATACATAAGTATCACACTCGCAAAAATGTCTTGTGTAATTTTTTTGCCGCAAATTCGAAAATTATAAAAAAAAATCTATGTCTTCGGTAAGGAAATTAAAAAAAAAATAGCATGCGACTCTTTTTTTCAAAATAGCCATTGCACCCTTATATAGCGACTAACTAGCTCAAATTTTATATGACGACAGCTTTGCAAAGTGGTCCAATTTCTGGAAAAAAAAAATAAAAAGTGCATGAAGTTGTAGTTTAATCAATTTGGTGTCTTCAGAGAAGCTTTTAGATGAAAGCAAGACCAACAATGGAAGAGGTCTCAACTCCAAGTTGTAAACAAACCTTGTAACGCCATATTGTCGCGGATTGTTGGTCAATTGTTGGTCTTGAAAGATGCGCCGATGAATGGATCGTCCAGAAAGTATAGTAATTGTGATGCCACTTGAAAATTCTAAAAACATTGAAAACACTGACGATTTTTGATACTGAAATGTTCTAGAAAATTGTTGTACTCATCATTTGCATAAACTTTGCTAACGACGCAAATTTGCTAGCATGTAATTTTCATTGCCTCAGACAGCCGTTTCTGAATACAGAGCGGAGGAACATGGGGGAGCAATCCTAGGTCGTTTCACATTAAGGAGCTTTGTAGTCACATCGTTTGCTTATCGAGAGTTTTGCGAAACTTGTCATCGTCGTCGCCATCACCGTCGGTTTGACAACTCGATAATAGATGGTATGCTGTGATGTGAGGGACTCCGTGGCCTTAGAGCGACCGCTTTTGCTTACTAAGCAGAACATCGTGAGTTTAATCTCAAGTCCCTCCACATTAAAAATTCGTTAATCGCTTTATATTATTTTTTCTTTGATTTGTTTTCCGTCAATCTTGTTTTCAGTACTGAGTACCAATGCTACCGACGCCAGGGAGGCAGCTCCTACACCTGGACCCTACCTATCGACCCATCAACTCATGAACCGGGGACCAACGGCTTTACTATCCCGTGATCAGAGATTTTATGCCTCAGAAAATTCCGGCGGCGCCGAGAAGGATTGTACCCAGGCCTTTTGGGGTGAGAGGCAATCACACTTACCACCGGCGCCGCTTGTTTACATTAATTGATTTCATGCCAATAACTTTATGATATGATCCATATCATCATATGATCACGGATAGAAATCTCCTTATACCTTTTGGCAAATTTCTTTTGCTGATTATTCATAAAATGAATAAGTCAACTAATAAGCAGACGCCTTGCAAAAAGTTAATGAACATCATGTTTCAAATGAAATGTATAAGCGGTCACACATACCTTTTTTTGCATTCTTATAGGCACCGACCATGAACCCATTCCCAGGAAATTAACATTGCACGCTTATAAATTGGGACCTCCCTTAGCTCAGTCGGCAATGGCGCAGCTACAAAGCAATACCACGCTGGAGGTGGCTGGGTTCGATTGTCGGTCCGGTCTAGGAATTTTCTTTTTGTGGAAAATGTCTCGACTTCCCTGGGCTAGAGATGGTAAATATTGCGGCCGTCATGTGACAATGGTCCTCACACTATCACGAGACGAAACTACCTATCATGAGCTTCCTTGTCGTTTCCAATGATCATACGGTTTTGACATTTCTATCTGATTTAGATGAATTTAGCAAGCAAGCAACAATTTGAAATCGGTAGAGTGAATATATGTTTAAGGGGGTGTTTACACTTATACTGATTCACTCATCGATGACTAATGGACTCCCACATGCTTTTATCCGGTGACGAACAAATGATACAGTTGTTGGAAACTTGAACAAATAAGACCAGGTAGATAGATAAGAAATATATCTTCCAACACCACACATGTGCTGCTACAGATACTAATAGCCATCAGTCGATGAGATAAAAGCCATCATTCTATATATTGGGAACGGTTTCCGTTGCATTTACACTGCATATTTTTCGAAACCATCCCCGGACGACGTGTCAGTACCGGGAATTCCTTCGCTGCGTGCGCACTAGCTATACGGATTTTGTAAAAATGGGTAAGGCATAACTTTGTGGATAGTGTTTGTTGTAGGCTTTTTATCAATTAGAATGTGGCTTCTTCCAGGAACCAAATGGGTTTGGACAAACGCTTTCGGACCCTATCCACCCAATATGGTTTCAGGTGGTCAGGATAGTGACGGTTCGTTGATCTATATCGGCCGTGCAAACCACAGTGGCGATCTGATTCCGGCCAAGGTGATTCCGCAGAAGAATGCCGCCTATGTCGCGTACGGTGGAGAGGAAGTGTCAGTGTCCGACTTTGAAGTCCTCTGCCGGAAGAAACTGATTTGGGACACTGTCACCGGTGGAAACGTCCCACCGGATGCGCTCAACGGTGGCAATACAGCCGACGGTGAGCCACTGTACATTGGACGGGTTTGCCACGAGGGAGCGCAGACCATCGGTAAGGTACAGCAGTCGCACGAGTGTGTGTACATTCCGTACGCTGGCGAGGAAGTATCGCTACAGACCTATGATGTGCTGTGTGAACGGTAAAATAAGTATGGAACGGTAAAATAAGCTCTGTAGAAATGATGTTTTATTATTTGTGTTTTAATAAATGAAAACCGAAGGCGTTGGGTTCGATTCCCGGCCCGGTTGAGGATATCTTTCGGGATGGAAATTTTCTCGACGTCCCTGGGCATAGACCACCATTGTGTTTTGCCACACAATATACAACTTCATGCATTTGGTTGGCATAGAAAGATCTCAATTAATACCTGTGGAAGTGCATCTAGAACACTAAATTGAGAACCGGCAAAAGACTCGAAGAAGAAGAAGAGTAAATAGAATTGGCAGTGATATAAAATAGGTTCTGATTAATTTTTAAAATAATTTTCACTTATATTTTATACGCTACTGTTAGAAATTATTCCAAAGTTTGCTTCTCTGCGTATGGTTTGCCTCTTAATTTGTATTTTTTCTTGTTTAGCAAGACTTCATATATGTATAAGTGATTTGCTCTCTGCTGTAATACACATGGGTTCGACTTGGGTCATCTATTTATATATCTAGATAAATAATTAGTGGATTTAAAAGATCGTTGAAAAAAGTATCATCATTAACGGAAGCTTCCGCACCTATGTACTTTGGTTACAGTATCTTGTTGACGCAACAACTGCGATTTTCTTCTCTTTGTTTAAACAAAAGATTTCCGGTATTACAGTTACAAATTATAAGCGAAAGTAATTTTTCAAAACAGCTAATTCCTTTAGTTTATTTAGCCAACTATGTTGCTCGCAGTTGTTGGTTAACTTGGGTCGGCCACACTTAAGAACATAAAAGTATAGGTGAAATAGCAGACATGTCGCATAATTTGCTTTAATACAAGCACTATCAACTCAAACAGTTTTATTTGTGTACTTATTTTCAGTGTGTAGATGTTCATGTAATGCCGTCTTTTCTGTTTTGTATCTTTAAAATGGCAGGAATATTGTACTTTTTTGCAATATTTAGCATTCTTTATTGTTTTCAAATAATAAAAAAAAGCATGTTCCAGTATAAATTGCAGCCTTTAATCAAGAGTGTCCACTATTAATACAACAATGTGACGGCATTGTGTTGTATTTTCTGTTTCACTGATATATAGCATTTACGGGAGCCTTCACTCCGAGAGTTTAATTTTCATTACACAAAAATATTAATATTTATTTAAATGTTTTGCTATACGGCAACTCGAAACGTTGTTTGTGACCGCTCGGCTCGTGTTTATTAGTTACAGTAAAGTTTGCCTGCATTTGTATCTTAAGATCGTCATTATTACTTACTACCATCTAAACACATGCTGTCAAAGATAATTTCATATAAATAACTACTCTGCCTGTCCATTGTCAATTTTGCATCGTTATCTGTGTTTTTTAGATGTATGTAGTTTAATTTGTCCCCTACCCTAAACACCCACGTAGGCGTAAGTCCATCCGAATAAAAGCGTTTCTAATCTCAGTTGTTGAAAACTGCAACATTTACACAAAGAAAGGTACGTTTCAACATGTTTTGAAAGAGATGAACGAAACCTCTACCGACCCCGCAAAGGAATGAAAAAGGAAACGGAACACTCGCCTAAGAAACTTATCTTACTGGTACTCATCGTCGCTACTTAGCAGCATCGTTTTCTCGTTATAATTCTGACTAATGGTGGCCACCTTCTGGGAGGCTCCACCACCGGGCATAAACTTCCGCTGGCTACCGAGCGTCGGTGGGGCAATGTAGTTACTTTGACCGGTGCTGTAGCCGCTGCCTCTGCTTCCGCTTCCGTGATTGGTTCCACCCGACCCGCCGGTTCCACCCTGCGTTAGCTGATGACTCGGATCGTCCGGATCGTACGATGACACCCGAATGCCGCGGGAGTTCTTACCACCTGTGAATTTGAATGTCAAAAAGAATAGTTCCGCCGGATTAGGTTCCTTACAAGACTATAAATTGTGTCTGATGTTTGGTAAATTTATAGATATTTGTTAGGATACATTTTTACAACATTTATGTTTAAATATAAATGCAGCATGCAATGAAATTTACTTACCAAATCTACATCGAGTTGAACTGTGCCTGAAAACTAAATCCACGAGAAATTGACGATGGAAAATTTGTTAATCGTTCCCTAACTTAACCGTCTTTTTGAATATGCTTTCGCATTCCGCACTGTTGTGAAATGCAATTTTCACCTGGCAGTAAGTCTCGGCCTTGCAGCGCATTCTTGCTGCCCGCGCTATTTGTTTTTCATAAACCCTCCGCATATCATATTGATCCATGCTTTCTGCGGAACATTCGTCTATTGATAGATCTTGTCTAGATCATGTTTTGTAACATTGGCAAAAGTGAGAGTAACCAATGTTTGCCTGCCTGCCTGCTGCCTATGCCTGCTTCAAAAGGAGGATCCTTACCTTAGCAGCGAAGCGGTGATTGATTTGCCCTGAATTGCCATAATAGTTTTTTAAAAGCTATGGCAAAATCTACGATGCACATCTTCCAGATAACCATCCGAAAACCGGTTGAAACTTATGGTTCGATTATAGTAAAATCGCCGTTTGGGGCATCCATGAGACAGATTGCCTTCTTTGCTCGGTTTTCTCATCCAACACCACCCTGATCTCTCATAGGGGCGCAGAATAAAAACACTTTTCATTGTCGTTAGCACTCTCGTAAACAATCTATTATCAATAGAATTGTGCGTTTCTTTTTGCGAGCAGCTAAAAATTTGTTTTTTTTTTTTATTTCAAGCAAAAATTTAAAAAAAATACTTTAACTATATTTATGTTTGTATTACTTCTGTGTGAAGTTAACGAAGATGCCAAGTTTCAAATAACAGACTTAAAGTGGTAATTTTATACGATAGATGAGGAGATGAAAGTATAGAGTTGATAATTCCGTTCAGTATGAAAATTGTATATAGAAAGTAGAAAGCGAGCAAGGACAACTTTGAGAAAGGAACGAATCGGAATGATCGTCTGTATTTACCAAACTCCACCGTTGGAGAGGGATGGTGAGGGGTATCCCTCAACAAACTATGCTTTCTCTTTCTAAGAAAACGATGTGCAATGGTGTTGAAGAGTACAAAGAACCCGTCAAACTACAACCCTGTCAACAATCACGCTGCAATCGCCACACCAACTCAGATTGTTAGGGTAACAATATGATCGACTGTCTACTACCTACAAGCAACTAACCGAAACAATGTGATCACAACGCTCTCATCTTCTCCGCCACCACGGTCAAGATCGTCATCATCATCATCATCACAGCTTTAATTCACACGGGAGTGATAAGGAAGGCCGGATAGTTGATGATAAGAGCGGCGGGAATCGCTCTGAGAGCCAACGACGAATAACATCGCATCGAGGCACTGCATCCACCTAGTCACCGAGACACACGGGCAGAAGACCCACAGTCGTTTTTAATTCGTTCCTTGTATTATAATGTAGTAGAGGGATTCCATCCAGAATGAGCTGAAAAAACCTGAAATCGTGCTCGACCATCTTCGATTTGGATGATACTTTGCCCATATTTTCAGTATGATAGACCAAGTATTTTCCGCAGGAGAGGAGACCCTTTTGACTCAAGGGTAATTTTTGAAAAGGCCCTATGTGTTTTTGCTCACATACTTTTAAAAAAAATGTAGGTCGAATACAGTTGGTTGCAGAAAAAATTTTACTAAGAAGGAGTTGTAGGAAACTAATAAGGCTTTATAAAAAAAAAATATAAGCGGATTTTTTTTCATTTTTTTTACAAAAAATATTAAAAATAAACCTCAAAATTCAAATAACAAAAATAACGTATTTTTGATTATTTTTATATTTTTTGTATAAAAATTTGAATAGAAAGCCGAAGTTTTGAAAACAACTCTAGGAAGGACAAACTTTTAATAAAAAAGTTTTTCTACGAGCAACTTTTAAGGCATTTTTGAAAATTTCATTATTAACGGCAAAATGTTCAGTTTGATGTTAGTATATGATTATAAAAATCATTTCAAACGATAGTGCTCATATCGATAAACTTCCTAAATATAACCGTTTTCGAGATATTTCAAATTTACTATCATCAAAATCATTTTTGTAGAAAATAAGCCATTTCCATAAGTTAATCGTGATTCTCCATCAGCATTGATAAGTTTAGCAAGATACACATATATTTACCTTCAATTTGTCTTTTGACGATTGAACGATCAGACAACCCGTTTAGAATTTACAGGGGAAATGAAAACACTATTATTTTAAATATAGAAACCAACACAAGTTAAGTTGCACTTATTTTCATTATCAAGCGTAGTTTCATCCTATTTAAGTTGGTAATATTGATGTAACTATCCATCTTATTATTTTAGGTACATTATAATGTCTTCCATGGCATTCCAAAAGAGCTTCTCTGTTAGAGTAGCTTCAATACCAAAACAATATTATTTATACCTGAATATCCAAATTATACCTACGTTTGTATATAAGCATGACCATCCTTTTGAAAACAAACATCACTAAAAAAATCTTTTTGAGTGAACAAGTATAATTTGAATGTGGAATTCAATAAGGTCGAGGTTCGTCAAAGCTTCGTAAATTATCCGAAAATTTGATTGAAAAACATAAGTTCCTAGAGTGGAAATTTAATTTGGATACATCTCTATCAATCAGGATACGTGTCGCTTGAATTTAAATAGAATCGAACCATGTGCTGACAATCTGGAACTAGAAGTGCAACCGTCAGTCATGGACATCGCGGAGCCGCAGCCATCTACATCTCGACATGGCCTCGAAGAAATACCATCAACTACGTCAATAACAACAGCATCATCTCAGGATAGTGGAGAGCAACAATTTTCCAGGACGCATAATATTGAGCTATTCAACAAGGGCATAGCTGGTATCAACGTATCGCCAATATCGACAAAAAAAATCCAGAATGTTAACTATCCCCGGAGAAAGTATATGGACATTACCAATGGCATTAAGAAACGCATCTTCGGTTTTCAAGCGGAAGAAGATGACCTGGAGCAACTAAAATTGAAAGCTGCGGAACACAATGAGATGATCAGACAACTGAAGGAGAGATTTGCTGATCCAGGTTCATCGAGAGACGATCAAATAAGGATTCTGACGATTTTGCCGAAATCTTGGTCAACGCAAACGGTAATGGACGAGTTTGAAACAAATAAATACATTGTATTACAAGCTCGATGCTTGGCAAACGGGAAAGGAGTATTGGCCACCCCCAACAAAAGGTTAGGACACGGTTTGGATCCCGAAATTAAAAACGAGGCATTGCAGTTCTTCGAAAGCGACCAGATAAGCAGAGCCACGCCAGGAATAAACGATTACGTTTCAGTGAAGAAGGAAGGTAAGAAGATTCATTTTCAAAAGCGACTTTTAGTTTGTACATTGCGAGAAGCTTTTATTACATTTCAAGAAGTCAGTAAAAATAGCATTGGATTTAGTTCATTTGCAGCAGTAAAACCAAAGCATTGCAAATTACTTGGTAGTTCAGGTTCTCACAATATTTGTGTTTGTACCATCCATGAAAATATTAATTTAATGCTTCATTGTCTTAGAAAATATTCATTCGAAAAAGATTTCAACCATTATTTTGAAGAAATATTATGCAGTTCATCATCCAGAACTAAACATTGTTATCTCCGCGAATGCGAACGTTGTCCAGGTCTCTCAGATTTTGAAAGAAGTTTTTCAGAAAAATTCGAGGAACAGGGTATGTCTGAAATATGTTTTGAACAATGGGTTTCAACTTATCGATGTAGTTTAGAGAAACTTGTAAAACCAGTAGATGGATTTGTTCCTTATTTTTGCGAAAAGTTGGAAAAACTGGTATCCCATGATTATATTAAAACTCAACAGTCTAGTTTCTTGAGAAATACAAAAAATACTCTTAAAAATGGAGAAGTTGTCATAATCTGTGATTTTTCCGAAAATTATTCATTTGTTCTTCAAGATGCTGCCCAAAGTAGTTACTGGAATAATCAACAAGCTACTATTCATCCTTTTTGCATTTATTATTCAGAATCAGGTATAATTAAAAATTTAAGTTTGATCGTAATCTCTGAAGATTTAAAACACGATACAATTGCGGTGCAAGTATTTATTTCAAAATTACTGACCTTTTTGCAAACAAAAATACAAGTAAAAAAAGCGATGTTTATGCCTGATGGAGCTGCATGGGCTAACCAGAAAAGTAATGATTATTTAACAAAAATGTCATTTTGTTTTGTGTCACAAAAGGAATACGAACAGGGGGCTGCAGAATGGAAAAGCATTTTTGAAAAGGCCAAAACGATCCCAGGTACAAGAAAATATCACTGTATTGTTCCGATTTCCGAAAATAAAATATCAGCGAAACTATTTTCGAATGACGAAGAACGCACCATTCATAACCTATAAAAACATGCCAATCAAAAGTTGATCAATTAAAAATATATCCAACGAAAAGGTTTATGTACAAATTATTATTATTAAAGATGATCGAAAGTAATAAATGTAAGATGCAAATAAAAACGCATGGGTATTTAATTTATTTATCTTATAAGTTTAAAACCAATTTTCCAATAGTCTATTGGTGCAAGGGTAAGTTGAAGGTAAGTAGATGCATATCTTGCAAAACTTATCATATTTGATGGAAAATCACGTATAACTTATGAAAACGGCATATTTTCTACAAAAAATTGATTATGATGAAAGTAAATTTGAAATATCTCGAAAACTGTTACATATAGGAAGTTTATTGATATGAGCATTATCGTTTGAAATAATTTTTATAATTATATACTGACATCAAACTGAGCCTTTTGCCGTAAATAATGAAAGTTTCAAAAATGCCTTAAAAGTTGCTCTTAGAAAAACTTTTTTATTAAAAGTTTGTCCATCC